AGCTAGTGATGAACAAAAGGAGCTTTTATGAACTGAATCAGTTGGGCCAAATGTTTCAAAAATAGGTTCATTTCATTTGCTGAAACTTCACTTACACAGACCTCTTGTGGCAATTTTCAACACTGCTGTCAAATTAGGCTTTATGCTTTTGGTTGTATACACCCAACAACTTTAATCACTAGTGTTAAAAAAACTACTTCACTGTGGTTAAAAAAAGCTTTTTTATTCAGCAACTTGCTATAACTGATTTGAAAATGTATTTATGCTAGTTARACCTCCTGTTTTCTAATTAAGATTGAAACATTCAGGGTTTGAAGCATGTTTTGAAGCTTTTGTTTCATACTACCATCACAAGTATGAGCTCCTTTCTTCCTTGGTGGATGTCACAAAAAATGACATCATGTGAGCCTTGAGGGTTGTTGGGAAGACAACCCTACCCACATGGAAAAAACAACATGGCTGTTCAGAGCCAGGAAAGACCTTGGATGTGCAACACTGTTATAGTTTAGTATCAAAATGTTAATACATCAAACAACACAGAAATTAGTCTGACATCCTAAAACATTTACCCACTATAATACATATTCCATACCTTTACGTCTACAGCTACACATTTTTTAAAAAATGTTGACACTACTTTATAGATTAACATAAAAGCATCAAAACCTTTATTTACAATGCAAAGTCCACCATCTCAGTCTGGATAAAGAAGACAGTCCAACTCCATCCTTCTTGCATGAACTTTTATTTAAGTCTGATTCTGAAGGTAAATTAAATATCTGACAGTGATCATTACACAGTGTGGCTCTAATTCTTCACTTCACCATCTGTGTCGCAGTTTCACGTCTCCAAAATGAGCGTACGCATGGGTCAGAGCTGGCGTGAGGCACCGCACATTTTCACGTCAAGTTTGGATTTTATAAATCACAATCTTGGCATAAAAAGTGGCGTACGCAAGTTTCTGGGCTCAAATTGTGCGTACGCCAGTTTTATAAATCCGACCCCTGGTCCTTAAATGGTTTTAGAGGTGTCTTCACTCCAACACACCTGATTAGAATAAATGGGCGATTAACAGGCTTCTGCAGAGCCTGAAGAGGTAATTCGATCACTGAATCGGGTGTGTTGGAGCAGGGAAACAAAACGACAGGACAACTGGACAGTCCTGAGCTAAAATTAGTTGTAGCTGWGGTTGATCCCCAACACATAAGATGATCTTAGATTAAGACTTTTGCATTAAAAACAGCAGGTGATGTGAATTCCTTTAAGGAAGTCTCATAAATTAGTTGCAAGCAAGAAAGGTTAAAAAAATTAATAAAATTAAAGCCTAATGGTTTTGAGCAAAAAAATCTTCAGACTTTCTGAAAATCTTTTAGTTATTTTTTGTATTTTTAAATGTTGGCTGTATTCCTCTCATCAGTCCATTACCTGACCATTTTCTGAGGAATTATGTCGGTAATTAATTCTTAACCCATAAATTATRGAAGCAGGAAAAGTTTCCTAAATGAGATGACTCAGTGTGTCAACAGTTGAAACCAGAGGTTTACACACACTGTATAAAAAGATACATATTTATTTTTTTCACTGATGTGAGATCAGAATAAACTTTTCCCATTTTAGGTCAATTAGGATTACCAAAATGATTTCCATTTGCTAAATGCCAGAATAAAGAGAGATTTTTTTAAGGCAATATCAGAGTTAATTAGAGACCCACCTGCAGATGTAATTTAAGGCACACCTGAAACACACTGCTTCCMTGTGTAACATGATGGGAAAGTCAATCAGCCAACAGCAGGAAGAGAATTGTGGACCTGCTCAAGTCTGGTTCTTGTTTGGAGGAAAGCCTGAGGACACCACTGTGATTGTGAAACACGGGGGTGGCATTATGATGTYGGGTTGTTTTGCTACAGGAGGGACTGGTGCATTTCACAAAACAGATGGCATCATGAGGAAAGAACMTTATGTTGAAATACTGAAGCAACATCTCAGGACATCAGCCAGGAAGTTYAAGCTTGGGTGTYAAGMGGTCTTCTAAATAGACATTGACCCAAAGCCCATTGCCAGACTGGTTACAAGGTGGCTCAAGGATGACAAAGTCAGTGTTTTGGAGTGACCATCKCAAAGCCCTGATCTCAATCTTATGAGCAAGGCAGCCTACAAACAAAGCCCTGCCAACTATTGTGAGAAGGTCTCCAAAATGTTTGACCCAAGTCATACAGTTTAAGGGCAATATTACCAATGTTATACCAATAAAGAGTATTTAAACATTTGACTTTGAAGAAAGTTTAAAAATATCCTTAAAAATCTCATTCTTCTGGCATTTAGCAAATAGAAAAAAATGTTGGTAATCCTAATAAAACAGGAGATTTTTTACTCTGATTTCACAGAGTGTGGAAAAGTCTCTTTAAACAGTGTATGTAAACTTCTGGTTTCAACTGTAGTATGAAAAGGATCTTWAAGAATTTTGTTACCAGCAGCAAAAACACAATGTGTTCCCATTTCTTTAAATAAAWCTATGAAAACTACCAAAAAAAAAAACAGCCCAGTGGACAAATATTAAATTGTACTTTTTCACCAARAAGAAGATTCTAAAAGATGCATCAGCTGAAATGTTTTCGTAAACCAAGTGATTCATTACTTAAGTCCCACATCGGGCTCTTGCTTATTTTTTTTCCTATTACAGACGTGACTTGAAAATGTTGTTTATCTGCTGTCTGTTTGATAAAACTATTTTTTTTCTTCACTTATTTTTCATTTGAAGCCAACACGGCACAAGAACTGAAAAGAGAACGAGTCAAAAYGCTGAAGAGCTATTGATCAAAACCACTTTAAAGCATTACAAGACACAATGACTTCTTGGAAGCAAAATGTCATTTGCACAGTCTGTGTGTCAGGTGCAGTTGTAGATTTCCAAAGGAACAAATCAGATAAAACTTAAACTTTTCAGTGCAAAACCTCTCTACTGTRTACATTTATAGATCATGGTGAAGCTTTATGTCTGATCGGTGCATGGTGTTCAGCTGCTGGGCTTGAGATGTAACTCACTGATTGCTTTTGTTTGCAGATGAATTGGCCAATCACTATTGACTTATCTACGCTGCAATCACATCTATTCACGTAACAAGGCTGCTTCTGTTGACTCACTCTGAATGACCTTGTCCACAAAACACTGGCTGAAATGATGCCTGCCTCGCAGCTTTTTGTTTTTAAAAGAGCTTTTTTTTCCCTTCTAAACACACTCAGATTAGCACACATAGATAAGGATAAGCTCATCAGCGTCCTAAAGCTACTTTTTTAGGATTAATGGTTTAAAAAACAACATTTTAAGCAAAATTTAGCTCACAGAGTTGGATCATTCAACAGTTTTATTCAYCTTTACAACAAAAACTACACAAGAAACAAACAATTTTATAACCTTTTACAACACATTACATTCAAWTGAAGGCTTGGTCAGGACAAAAACAGGAAAAAGTTTAACAATGCAGCTTAAACCAGCAGAAAACTATACAGATTATATTCACTTTAGAAATGTTTTAGTTTCTACTGAGCCCGTCCGGTGGCATTGGATGAAAAACAAATAACTTGTGGTCACTAGATCATTTTGAGCAGCAGTGTCTCTGTGAGAAATACAGATGTTAGAGTCAGATTATATACGAATATGTTTTTGTTTTTCTGTTCTAAAATACCCACACTTATTTTTCKTTTTTGGGTTGGTGTTTAATCCAAAGTGTAAACAGTACCTCCACGGTTCAATCTAAACAGTTCATTTTTCATACTAATATTCACCAGATGACAATGAACACTTTCAGTGTGTGTCGGAATAATTTTTGTTTTATTTCTGTGTTCCTGAACGTGACARAACTCAGACTCTTCACAGCAAAGGCATGGCGTGAGAGAGGAGCCTGTTCAGAGAAATGAGCTTCAAATAAAATAAAGCTTTTCAGACAAAGACAGCTTCAGTCATTTCCTGTGTTTTATAACTGCAACATAAAATGCTACGTCATGCCTAACTGCATGTCATTCATTCCTATATTAAATTCTTAAAATGAAATTAATTCACGTCCATGTGAACAATCAACAGTGTCTGCATGGGAATGATGGCAATAATTATCTTGTGACCACAAGTTATGCATTTTTTGTTTTCTTTTTTTTTATCCAGCCGTCACCTGATGGGATCTATGAAATGCTACTTGAATATTTTATGACAAATATTTGACAACAGTCTTTTTCTGTCACAAATGTGTCACGTTTCTGCTAACAGTACATTGATTAAAGCTATCACAAAAATCCAATTTTACTAAAAGGATTTCTTTTACTTTAACATTCAACCTTTTTTACATCATTAATAGGCTTTTAGCTACATTCATGATGCAAACACATGTTTTGGTGTTATTATTTATTCATATTAGCCAATCATGTCATCCAGTCTCACAGTTATTGTTTACAGCTAATAACCATTTGTCAGATTTTTTGGGTGAATTTCCAATTTGCTTATTTTAACTGTCTAACAGCTGACTTCATACACGTCCACGTCGGTCTTGCTGGTGATTTCTGGACAGGAGCGACAGGCAGGACAGACGGCCTGCTCCTGGCGGGACGGGCAGGTTGGGCATCGGGGTCTCTTGAAGCTGAGGGCCAAGGCGCTCCCTCCCAGCAGCTGCAAGCACGAACCCAGCCACCCYAAGTAGAGCGACCCGGCTGGGTTCAGGCTGAGCTGGGGGAACCTGGGGTTGCCGACCCCTCGACTTGGATCCACGCCGAGTCTTCTGAGGTTGTGGGTGTACACCCCCAGTCCGGTCAGGCTCAGAAGCCCCGCTATCACCACCAGCATCCCCCCCGAAGCCGCCACCCTCCTCAGAGGCAGATCGGTCCAGCATCTGACCCCGACGCAGGCCAGCACGATGCCGATGCCGCACAGGAACAAGGAGGCGAGCACCAGGCCCTGCACCAGCCGGACCCGCGGGTCCCTCTGGTATGGACCGAACACGGGCCAGCACTGCTTCAGCTCCGAGTGCTCCACTTGCAGGCAGCTCTCCCAGAGGCCGTCGGAGCGCAGCAGGAGCAGGGCATCCGCCGACCCCGACCTGGCACCAGCCCCCTGACCTTTCGTGCCCCCTCGGAGAAAAGACCCGGGTCCTCCAATGTTCAGCCGGGCCTGTCCCTCCCTCCACTGAGGCGTGATGACAGCAGTGAAGACGAGGACCAGGCCCAAGGGTGCAAAGACGATCCCCATCACCATTGAGGCCGGAGTGTGCATTGTTAGTTTGGAAACTCGAAGTCTGTGATTCAAATCAAAACCGCGGCAGTGCTCAGCGAGGACYGACGAGGACAGCTGTTAATCCAAACAGAGAGGCTGGTTGTTTGGTAGAACTCTGCAGGAAAGTGAAACACAGCTGTRAGAATGTAAACTCCTCAGTGAAGAAAAAAAATGTGCAGGGGAATAAAAGCTCACCCTGTGCCTGGTTGTTCTTGTAGCTGCAGGCTGTCCATCCTGAGTGTCTGAGTGAGAGAAAAAGACCGAGTTAAATGAAAAACCCACCAGTAAGAAGTGACGGTGTGAAGTGGAGAAAGCAGACTGGCTTTGCTGCTCCTGGGCTGAGGAAAGCAGTCGATGGCTGTCTCTGTTGCTACGATACAGTAACACGACCATTCTCAGCATGATACCTCTGTGTGTGCGCGCGCGCGCGTGTGTGTGTGTGTGTGTGTGCAGCTGTATTAATGAGGAGACCTTGCTCGACTCTTTCTCTGGATGTTTGTGTTTGCGCGGACCGCGGAGCCATGTTTTGCTGCGTGCACAGGAGGGAGCTGTTTTCCAAACGTCTAACGACTCAAAGCTAAACATGACCTCGGAGGCAATCTGTCGGTTTAATAATCCCGGCAAGTCCAGAGTCTGAATAAATGATGACTTCATCTCCAGCGTTTCCTGCCTGATCTAGGACGAAAAGAATGTCCTCAGAAAAAAAAACCCAACGAGGGTGACTTTAAACCTTTGTCAAGCAAACGCCATAAAGAAACAACATAGCTGCAGGGAAGAATGCACTTAGACTGATAAGATTATTTTAGCATTTCAAATTAAGAAAACCTTCAATGTCTACAAAGAAAAGAATGAGCAGAGGTGAAAATATGTAATTTACAGATTAGTCTGTTTGTGACTGCATACATATTTTGTTCTTTCAGTTCTTTCATCTAATCTAGATGACATTTTTTTGACGGTTCACAGAAACAGGCCAACAAACATGACAGAGTCAAAAGCAAAAGCAAAAAAATCATGCCAATTCATAGTGACATAATGGAAATATTATTCACAGATCAACAGGAAGATCATGAACCCATCAGTGTTCTGTAAGACTGAGGAAAACGTTGATTTTAGGGTTAATCAGATCCACACGTTAACCCTAAACATGGGCTTACTGCAACTAATTTGCTAACAAAATATACCATAATCAGTTTTAGCAATGTTGAAAAAGTAGGCAACATTAAAAGTCAATTAGCAATATAGAATTTCATTTTGTTGTCTTCTGTTTGCCAGTTTTTATGGGCATTTGGAATAAAAAACGTCACTTTGTGTTTTAGTCTCCTGGAATTAAAAATAATTTGCACTGCATCCAATCTTCTCTTCGGAACTAAACTAATCTCACCACCTCCTATTTCTATTCTCCCAAATTAAATTTTATTCAGTGCTGCATTTACTGACCCCCATAAAAAGACACTTTATTTTAACTGGTTCTTCTTGACTTGTTTAGACGAATCGTTGATGTTGAATTAGAACTTTTACTGTTTTGCATCCAGGCCAAAAAAAAAAGGTTATATTTTTATTATTTCAATGTTTTACTTCAGAACAACCACAAACCCTATGAAAAATGAAAAAATAAATAAAATTGTGTCATTAAGTTGAGTTATTTCTTTTAACCCTCCCAAACATTTTATTGATTATTTGTTTGTGGCACCTTTATCATTCCGTACATTACCCTCGTTGTCTGTCTGTCATGTTTATTGACAATTACTTCCTGTTTGGCTGCTCTGCATTCAGTCCTAATGGAAAATTAGACGACAGACGTTTGGCTCTGATACAGTCTTTTGTTGTTTGTTATTAGATTAGTGACCTTTTTGCTTTTGTACTTGTTTTGGTAAGGAGATACTTATTGCTATTCTTAATACACTCCCTATTTTTGCTTGAAAGTTTGTGCTTTGTGCATTTCTAAAACCAGATCCTTAGCATTGATTTAAAGCAGCGACTTCAGGTGCTCGTTCCCTTTACAGAACAAATGAGGAGGAGAGGAAAGATGTGGAAACATCGCCATAGAAACAGATCATGAATTAAAAATGATACGGATCACAAGATTATTATTTATGCTCTTAACAGCTTGACTGAAGCAGATATGTTTAGAGCAAACACACACACACAGATCCAGCCTATAATGTCTGTCACTTACCATTCAGGAGGGGTTTCATGCATCCCACTGCAGACTCGTCTTGCTGAATACCCAACATGTTTTTCTCTTTGGCAACAGATGGTGCAGCCACCTCCTTATTCCCGCTCCTTCTTCCTCCTGGTCTGTTTCTGGCTGCACATTTTCCCACGCCTGCCTTAGGTCTCTTTGTGGTTTTGGTCTTTGTGTCTGTCCCTGTTTTTATGTTGCCGCTACCCTGTCTGTCTGCTGTTCTGCCGCTCTCCTTCTCTCTGTGCATGCCTCTCTCTTTTGCTTGCTGAAGGATGTCTGCWTTATATCTGGGACAGAGTGTCTTCTGCTTTCCCTCGCCGATGTCAATAAGCAGCCGATAAAAGAGCTGGACGTGCCTTGCTGCAGAGCACAAAGGGAACAGAACAGACTCATTCCTATTAGGGCGACAATTAGTCTCTGTGATTTTACAAAAGTTATATTCATAGATTAAAATYCATAATTAATAACTCAGTCTGTGCACAAAAACACCTCTAAAAACACAACCACTTTCCTACCCAGCTTCTCTGGGGACTCCAGTTTTCTCCCTCAGAAATGATGTTAAGTTAATTAGTAACTCTTGATTGTCTCTGGGTGTGAGTGACAGTATTAATGGTTGTTTGTTTCTTTGTGTCTCTGTGATGGATTTGCAACTTGCCCAGGGTGTACCCCGCCTCCCACACATTGGCTGATGGATAAAAGCTTCACTGTGACTTGAAAAGGAAAAAAGGCAGGTAAAGATGATGGATGGAAGGATGGGTGGATGGATTGATACATCTGTCAGAAATAAAGATGGGCAGAGGTCTGTGAAAAATTGTCTAAAAAAGATAGAACAATAATGTTTTTTTATTGGTGTCACTTCAGTACAAAACAAAACCAAATGTTAGTTTATTTAGTTTATTTATTTCTTCATCATCAGTG